GGGGGAGGGCCTTCTCTGTAGCTGCCCCGGCCCTATGGAATGATCTACCCCCAGAGATCCGGACCCTCCCCACTCTCGCGGCGTTTCAAAAGTCTATTAAGACCGGGCTTTTCCGGCAGGCCTGGGGCTGTTGACCTCTTGAATGAGGTCCAGCCCCACTAAGGTTGAGTGCATGTTGTGTCTTTTTTAACTTGCCTTGTCTCTCTTTTTTTTAAAACTTTTTAGTATTCTTTTAAATTGTTTTTTATGTAAGCAGCCCGGAGTCCTTCGGGATTGGGCGGCATATAAATTTATTAAACATTAAACATTAAGGGCATTCCCAATCATCTCAAGGATTTTTTTTTTAGTGCCTTCAAGTCAGATTTGACTCCTGAAAACTGCCTATTTAAGTCCTTGCAGTTTTCTTGGCAAGATTTTGGAAATGGATTGCCATTGCTTCCTTCCTAGGGCTGAGACAGTGACCTAAGGTCACCCAGCTGGTTTTGTGCCATAATGTGGGAGCAGAGCTCATAATCTCCCATGTTCTGACTTGATGCCTTAATGACATGGAACAAACTGGCACTCCTCATCCCAGTAGCCACACAGAACAAAATAGCATAAGCTACACAGGAAAAACTCCCATGACTTACTCTAACTAGGATCTTAAGAAGGATCTTGAAAGGTTGTTCCTGGCTAGTTGGGCTGCAAGAGGTGAAAGCAAGGATCTTGAGAGCTCATTTGATGTAGTGGTTAAGGTGCTGAGCTAAGATGCTGATGAGTTTTTAAAGTTTTTTTTAAAAGTTTTTAAAGAGTTTTAAGAAGAAACTGGACAGTCTACTTGTCTGAAATGGTATAAGCCAGTGATGGCTAATCTTTTTGTCGTTGCTTGTGGAAAACATCCGCGCCCCCTATGCGTGCCCCGTCTCCATTCATGCACACGACACCCCCACCGTGCTCCCCCCCAACGCATCTTCTGCATGTACCCTGCACATGCGCAACAGAGACCCAAAAACCAGCTGGCTGGCTGGCTGGCAGGAGGCACGCATGCACATGTGATGAAACTAAGCTGCAGTGATAGCTTGCGTGCCTGCAGAAAGGGCTCTGCGTGCCACCTGTGGCATGCGTGCCATAGGTTCGCCATCACAGGTATCGACTCTCCTGCTTGACCAGGGGGCTGGATTAGAAGACCTCCAAGGTCTTTTCCAGCTCTATTCTGATGTTATTCCAATGAAGGTGAAAAGACTAGGAGTCCTTGGCCTCTCTTGGTATGAAAGCCAGCTGGGTGATTTTGGGTCCCGACACACTTTTTTTCAGCGCAGTCAATAACACTGGTTGTTGTTGTGAAGAAAATAAAGTGTTGGTATTAGATATCTTTGTGGCCTTATGTATTAAAAGGGGGGGGGGGACATGTAATACTGGTAGTCCTCAACTTACAATCACAATCGAACCCCAAATTTATGTTGTTAAGCGAGATATGTGTTAAGTTAGTTTTGCCCCACTTCACAACCTTTCTTGCCACAGTTGTTAAGCGAATCCCTGCAGTTGATAAAGCCGTAACCCAGTTGTTAAGTGAATCGGGCTTCCCCATTGTTAGGTCGCAAAAGGGGGATCGGCTGACCTTGGGACACAGCCACGGACGTAAACACGAACCAGTTGCCAAGGATCTGAATTTGGATCCCATGACCGTGGGGCATGCAAAAGTCGTTAACTGAGGGAAAAACGGACGCAAGTCGTATTTTTTTCAATGCCGTTGTGACTTTGTACCGTCACTAAACGAACTGTTATAAATCGAGGACTACTGTAATCCCAACACTGGCGTCCAATTTATTCACTGCCAGCAGTTCTTATTGCGCCTCGGGTCCTTGACTGACCCTAGAAACGGGCGCTCCATCTCCGGGACCTCCAGGAGACGCGACCGGGGAGGGGAAATGAAAATAAAAAATAGGAGAGAAGGGCCCAACGTTAACGGGGCAGCCGGGCCCCGTTTTCCCTTGCGCGACACTTTAAAAACAAAAAATAAAACCTTCCGAGAAGGCGGTCAGTCACACCGGGAGAAGCAGCAGCACGCCCCGCTTCTCGGTCGGGCTGAGAAAAAGACGCCAAAACTGAGGCCGGGCCGCAACGGCGGCTCCCCGCGAATTCCCGCCTAACCCAGCGCAAGCTCACCCTCTTGGTTTCACCGAAGCGGCGACGTCGGCCTCCCGCTCTGAGGAAACGAGACGGCGCGCCACTTTCCCCCGTTTTCCATCCGGGGTCGCCCCGGCCACTTCCTCTCTGGAAAGGTCAGGGAAAGTGGGCGGGACGGCAGAGCGGGAAGCGGAAAAGATCCTAGAAGGGCTCCTGCGCGGGGCAGGGCGGGGAGGGGGGAGGGAACCGCGCGCCCGAGGGTCGGGACGTCCGAAGGCACGTGGGCCGCCTGAGTGGAGCGGCACAGCCGGCAAGGAGGTTGTGGGCCCGGCGCGCCTGGCGGCTCTCCTCCTGCACCTGCGAGGAGAAAGGAGAGCTCTTCAGAAAGGCACCAGCGGTCTGGACGGAGTAGGCAAGGTTCGTCTGGTCTGCGCCCGGAGGAAGCCACCCGAGGAGGGGTTAGGGTCGGGGGCTTGCCAGAAAGCCCCTGTCGGGGAAGCTGCGGGGAGGGGAGTCGCTTTAGCTACGCGAACGCTGCTTGCCAGCCTTCCTGTAGCATTACGTCAGCCTTCCCCGTCAAGGATGCTGAGACTCCAATCCCCATAATCCCCAGCTAGAAGGTGCGCGTTTTGGGACTTGCAAACCCGCGCCGCACCTGCTCCGAAAAGGCCGCCTTAAATGCCCCTGGGCGGTGACTGCAGCACCAGGTGGCATATCAGTGCCAGAAGTTAGAGACGGGGGTTGGATGTTCGTTTTTTGAATGAGGAGCTCCCTTACAGGTAGTCCTCGACTTACAACAGCTCATTTAGTCACCGTTTGAAGTTACAAAGGCACTGAACAAAAAGGGACTGAGGGCCGTTTTTTTACCACGCTTATGGCTGTTGCAGCATCCCCAAGGGTCACGTGATCACAATTCAGATGCTTGGCAATTGACTCATATTTATGACAGTCCCAGGGTCATGTTGACATTCCCAACAATCAAAGTTAATAGAGAAGCCGGATTCAATTAACAAGTGTGTCACTAACGTAACAACTGCAGTGCTTCATTTAACAACTGCCGGAAGAAAGGTCATAAAATGGGGCAAAGCTCACTTAACAAATGTCTCACCTAACAGAAAATTTGGCCTCAAGTGTGGTCATAAGTGGACGGCTAGCTGTATTTATTTGCAGTGTGTGAGAGAGACAGAGCCAACAAGCTTTCTCCGGTGTGGGTTTGTAATGCCTTCTTGAAAGGTTTGGCATAGCTTGGGTTAGTATTTTTTTCTCTTTGTGGTAGTCCTTGTAGTGTGAGACCACTAAAGGGTTTTTATGTATCCATTTGGAAGTACAGCATTTGTTGCACATAAATTGTGGTAATTATCGAGTAAGGTGAGAAATTCAACAAAACTTTTTGTTCAGGTTTGATACCATAATCATTAGCCTTTTGCAAGGTTTGTTTGTTTGTTTTTAGAATGGCTGGCTGTTTGTTTTAAAGTGGTTGCAATAACCAATCTCTGTTAGGAGTATTTAGAAAAGAAAAAGTTATTTTTCAGGAATATGCATGAAAGAAAACAAGTAATTGAGGTGAAACAAAATCTCTGGTGATTTGCCCCATTCTGGTCATCAACCCAGACAAAACTTCAGAACACTTTTAGGCATGAAAACTTGAGGTTTAGAAGAAGTCCCTTGGGCTACAGAAATCTGGGCAATTGTTAGAAGACCTCAAATAAATTAAATAGAGCTGCTGCCTCCTAGTGGTTATTAAAAACTTAGAGCCATGAATATAGAAATATTCTAACTGAATGAAATGTGAAAAGAGAGAGCCATTTGCCATGAATATAGAAATATTCTAACTGAATGAAATGTGAAGAGAGATAGATTGGCTATAGGCTACATGTTCTTGATCTCTCACTCTAGACACAATCCTTTTAAGCAATTGCTTCTTTCCAGAGCAGGAGGTCATCCTGGCATTGTGTACTGTGTACACAATGTACAATGTACATTGTGTACATCCTGGCATTATCAGTTGAGATGTTAGTTTAATTTTTTTTAAATAAACCTTCTTTTCTAAGATATACATAAGAACCCAGTTAGGTGTAGTGGTGAAGGCGCTAGGCTAAAAATTGGGAGATTGAGTTGCAGCCTTGCCTTAGGCATGAAGCCACCTGAATGACTCTGGTCCAGTTACACTCTCTCACCCATAGGAAGGAAGCAATAGTCAATTTCTGCAGGTACTGTCCAAGCAGTGGTCAGAAGTCAAGACTGACTGAATGGCATAAGAAAAAAAATATACCTGAAACTAACATTGCAGGCATTCACACTGTATTTAAAGGTTTATCTGCAGAGTTTATCCTTCATTCCCTAATTAATGGGAAACTAATTTCTATCTGATAGCATGAGCAAAGACAATTACTCAAGACAGGGCTAGCCTGGAATACTAAAAATGTCCCTACTTGGCTATCATTTGCTTCCCACATATAAATCACATATGCAAGGTTGATAGAACACAGAACAAAATACACACTCCAGGAAAAGTTTTACACCTGAAATACAAAAAAAAACAGCCAAACAAGTGAAACCAGAAAATCCAATGTCTTTTCAGCAAAATACACCATAGGTAGCATTACAGTACACACTTCCATACAGGTCAATCTGTAAAGTCTTTAGTCACTTTAACACTGTCACAAGTGAAGGTGTATGACTTAGATTATTCAGTTATATTTTACAACATCAATCAAAAATTCCAAAAGTGTGGTCCAAATTAAAGCATCAACACAGAATTTTGGGGGGAAAGATAATGTCAGTTGGTCTTAGCTGAACTGCATGTTTCGAAGAAGGCGTGGGAGTAGTCACACATGGGTATTAACCCAGCCCTTTTGCCCTGGAGACTGAGGTAAATCTTGAGGCCACGCCTCCATTCCGCCTTTTGACGTCCCAGATTAACCGATGGTTCGTAGCAGAGCACCTGGAAGGAAGGGACAGAGACAGCACAAGCACACATCCTTCCTGCCTGGCCCTGATTGACCGCTGAGCTAACTCAGGCCTCTGGCGCAGAGCGCCCTACACGGGGGGGGGAGTGACTACTCCCACGCCTTCTTCGAAACATGCAGTTCAGGTAAGACCAACTGCCAGTTTCCAAGGTGAGGCA